GCGCCGCCATCCCCTTCTCCACCACCGGGTAAGGGACAACAGTTGATGGAAAACGACTGATACGAACGGTATGATGCAGTCTTATCACTTGAAGAACGAATAAGCAAGAGAAGAAACAAACTGGCGCTGAGCCAAACCCACCCCCTCTAGCACGCCCCATCAGTAGCAGTGAACAAGACCGTAGGATCTATCTACGGCCATTTCCAACTATAGAATTTGGTATCGCTTCAGGTTCCTGACCATTAACCTCATTCTGAAGTCATTGCTCCCTGACTCGGCAGATACCGCTCTACTTCAGAGTTATCACCATAATATTTGATCCGCAATGTTGTAGGTGTCCTAATTTCTCGCTACAACTAGTAAATCTCATCCCGATTTATGTCAACGGAACACGTGCCCTAGTAATGCCAGCTACGTCGAAATCACTTGTAATTCGTTCCTCAGTTCTATCAAGGATTCCGTGGTTAGCGTGTCCATTAATGTTAGATGGCCTGAACTAGCTATTTAGCCGAGAATGTTTTGCCTCGCCCACTCTAGTCATGCTGTCTCAAGTCTTGCGCAGCAACAAAAGTAGTTGTACGTTGTATTAGAGAGGGGATTTCGTGAAAACCAACGGAAAATCGGCAAAGAATCGTCGATTTTATTACTTCGTAAAACGCTCCGTACGCCGCGCGTTGTCCTTCAGTATAATGATCGTCAGAGTCCATATCCAGTGAATGGTTGTTGAAAATGTAAATGAGTAACGGTCCCGCTGATTGAGCGAAAGGAGTCCTATTTCGAAAGGGCATGCGCAGGGCGCGTCCTACCCTTGGTTGAAAATCTGGTCGCGCAGTACCCCTTCCCTCCTTCTCGAACCTTCCTGCTCTGCAGCCCCGGATAAGTTGGTCCAAATTGGCGGAGACCTCATGCGTTGGTGATGACTTGCTCACTCTCTGAACTTGCCTTCGCAAGACAAGTTCAAGGAACAGCGCGTGACTGGCATCAAGCCGATGTGACTTCTCATAAATACATTTTAACCTCCTGTCCTGGGCACTGAAGCCGCTCCGGTGTTCCGAGTACCTAACATCTTTCTAAATATTCCCATTTTCCTACCTCTTTATGGAGGGGAGGGAGAACGATGTAGTGCGCTTGTAGTGGGAAAACGGAAAAAGCTCTGTTAAAGTGACCCCGCCCCTTCCCTCAAGGGAACAAATACGTCCCCTCCCTGGGATGTTCAATGTGCGACGTGCTGTGGAGGCAACTGTCGCAAAGTGTGCAGGGACTGAGTTCACCGTTTGCTTTGACAGACACCGGTCTGGGGCCTTATTTTGAGAGTTAGTTTGGATTTGTTGAATTTAAGTCGCGTCAAGGTAGCAAAGTGGTTTGTGAAGATGTTAAACGTTTTTTAAAGCACATTCCACGATTGGAAGTCGAGGGTTACGGAGTCTAGACATGAATCTGCAGGACTGGTGACTTACTGGGGAGGAGAGAAGCGAAAGAAGCCGTTGGAAACTGGCCAAATATGGCCCGGTTTTTTGGCTGTGGACGACATGTGGCCAATAAAGACGCAGAGGCGCCCAGCGAAGTGGGCCAGGGATCAGGGAGGCTTAGGTCAAAGCCACCCTGTTGCATATAGAATGAGAGCGAGAGAATCGGTCTCAGAGCCACGGAGTAGTTATACGTCATACAGTCCTCATCATTGCGGACTGTCGGAGGGCGGCTGTGCAACGCGGTCCAAATGGGCGTTCGGCCTCGTTGCTCTACCAATGGCGATCGGGTAAAGATCGATTTAGGGAGGGAGCAACCAATGATGGAAACGCCGCAGGTGCGAGCCGCTGATTGCGACCCGACAATTGCGGTGATGTAAAGTGTAGTTTTAATTATGTGATAGAGTAAGTTGTCCGTCCATAAGTATTTGAGCGGGATGGGCGAGGCTTCTGGCCTTCACTAGCCTCTAGCACCCAGGCTTTTTTACTGGCTAAGGTGGCAGCCTTAGGTGGCTCCTTACCTGCGCTGCGCTTCTTATGTAAGGATATCGCCACTCTTAGGTAATCACGGAATATCTCTCTAGCGCCTTCTCTCCACATTCTCTGACATAACTGATTCTGAATGGTATAGGTGTGCAGTAGATCGTACAGACACCCGAGGCCGTAAAACTTTAGACATAGTAATGGAACCAAATCATCCAGCTTGCCTCTCACTGTCATAATGCGAGCTAGTAGTCGTTTCATCACAAATGGACTGTATGCTGTTAATTGCTGCTTTCAGGCAGGGCAGCTGTATGCGTGGGATTAGGCGTGTTATGGGTTGTCATTCATGGAAACTGGAAAACGTAAAGGGCTCGGCTGCGCTAGTAGTCAAGTGGAGTCTAGGCTCGCCCCTGTTATTATGGTGATTCGCGTTGCGCTTACTTTGTGACGCGTATATGATCCTCGTATGTGTAACTAGTACCATTAGAGAGTAGTGTTCGGCAGATAATGTGATATCCGTTAACATGGTCAGTAAGAAGGATCGCGAGCCTGGTTTGGTTGTGAACCAGAAGAAGTAGCCTCCTTCTCCGTGGGGAGGGCAGGGGGGGGTGGAATAGTTGTGATGGTCTCTTATAATGCGCATGAGGGTAAAGGAGAGCGAGAAAGTGCGAAATGAAACAAGGAAGGTTTGCTCACTCATTTTTCTCCCTTTTCGCATTACTTTTCACTTTAAACAAGTTTTTCTTGCTATGGTCTCAATTTTTTCGTGCTGTACGATCATCGGAAGCCTCCCTGGTTCTTTACTCAGCTCCTTTACTTGTTGGGTCTGCTAGCATGACCCTCTTGGGGTTGCCCTCTTGTCAGAAGGGTATTACCGGTCATTCCAAGCAAGCGCTTTAAAACTCGTAGGATCACAAAATGATTTGATGCCAGTTTATCTTCGTTTTGGTCTGGAGCCCGGAATTGTCGCAATCGGTAGGATGGACCCTGATGGTCTACTTCCTAGGGGACCCCTCCCTGACCGGCTGCCAACATTTTTGACCCCCAAAGCTGGCTCATTAGTTCGGGATCCATATGGGACGGTTAAAGCAAGCGAAGGTGGTGCAGTAGCAAATGGCGGTGCTTACCCGGTGCATGGTTGGAAAGAACTGTTTTCAGCTCCCCTATGAGCTCCTGCTCGCGTCAACCAGGTTTTCCATCCCACGGGACGGCAACTCGGTACCGGATTTGTCTGGGAGGATAAAACACTGATTTGTACATCGGCTGGCCCCTGCAAATCATTGTATAGGCCACATTGCATTCAAAATGGCCCTACGATTCTGACTGGAACTACAGCTTGGCGTGTCCAAAAAGGAATCGATCAATGCCAGAAATCTTATTCTTTTTATTATCTTTATTTTTTTATTAGAGTGAGGCACAATGACCCTTGACTCTTCCGTACCATTTTGACTTTAAAATAGATAAGGAATATCAACCAGGTCTGCCGAACGAATAACGTAAATGCGCGACTTTCCCAGGGTCGCTCGTTCAAGATCACTGGGAGAATCTCTGAGGACCAGGCTTAGTTCTACAAACGAGGATGTCAGTGTGTTATTGACAGAAGCCTTCTTTCGCAAATTTGATCATAAAAAATAACGCGGTAAATCAGTCGAGGGCCTTAATTGAGGGTGGTGGGGAATGGATTCATGCGAATTTGGCGCGATCGATCGGCTTGGAAATGTCCGAACCGCCATGTTTTTTTGCCTACACTTTAATTCGAAGTACGACATTAGCGGATTACTGCACCTAATCCAACTGAGTTCGAAGAATGCGTTGAGTATGGGAGTACCCTTGTATATACCGTAATCGGTTTTCATCGTGAAAGTCGCGCTGAATTGTCTAATTGAATGATTGAGTGTGAGATAGTAGGGATGACTCGCGACAAATATGGGCCACAATATTGTGCAGGTCGTCTAAAGATTGCCACGCGTCCGATAGTTGGGAAAAACAGATTCGTAGACATTTCTTGGTCGAAGACACGTGTGACATTTTTGTCTGGTTGGAATATCCAAAGAAAGATTCTCATAAATGTGCCATTTTTGATGTAAAGGGACGGAGCTCTATTAGGATGTGGCTTGTTTATTGGGTACTTACACTCTTTGACTATTAGAAAGATTGGTCGTAATTGCGTACTTAGTGGACCGCATGGCATGGCATTGGAAAAGTTAGAAACTTCTACCAGCGGAATGAGTAGCTCTTTGCATTGGGGCCTAATGACAAACTGATCGGACCAAAGCCGAGTGATACTAGAAAGGAGCAGAGGTCCTGTCACGAGCGACACTTAGTCCACAGTTACGACCCCTCTCACCGTGAGATACAGAGTGCAGACACGGGACTTTCTTGAGGTCCACTGCGAAGATAACTGAACTATGCGCATACCGTCCGTTTCCACCTGGCCGACAGAACCTTTTTAGTACGCGCGGTAATGGCTGAGGAGCAAATGTCGCCACAGGTTCACTAGCTCTTTGGGATGTGGCTTCAGTCTACATAAGTCTAAGCGCAATACTGACTTGGCTAGGGCGTCAACATTTTCAGTGTATTTCTTCTACAGCTGTTGAAATCGTGGAGAAACAAAGCAGGAAGCTGAGGCCGTAGAACGCCTCAGTTTCATGACTTATTGCCGCGATTTCTTCTGTATACTGGTCGCGGGGCACGCTGCACACGCTTTCGAGAGAATGTGAGGGACATTGCGTGTTTTCGCTTCTCTTATGAAGAGAAGGAAGTGGGGAGGTGTGGGGGGTTGTTGTTGCCGACTCTCGCGAGAACATGCTTCCCGGTCCCAGATGTGCCCAGCGCACCCCCCCGCCCCAGTTTCCAACGGTTATATGCGCTCCGATCGCATCTAACGAAAAAAAAAACCTACAACTAAAAAGACACTTCGCGCGCACTCAGTAATGTTTCGTAAATGAATTGCGAAAGTTTTTTTTGTTGTGGACCTCTTCAAGTTTTTGAAATGCACTACTGCATACATTTTAGATAAGATCAACCAGAGTGTAAAGTACGTTCAAATAAATTTATTTATTTTCTAGGATACAGAAAGACCGGAGCCCCGGTAGGATAATAGAGCATCCCTGTTGCGATGTGATTGTATCGAAGGGTTCGCCAGCTACGCTGAATTGTGCCGCTAAGCCACCGGGAGCACAAATTACTTGGTACGTCTTGGTTTTTTTGGAAAAGCATCTACTACATTTTGCATGCTCCACGTATTACTCCTGTTGTAGGTACAAAGATGGTCAACCAGTAACTACTAATAAGGACCAAGTAAATAGTCATCGAATTATACTCGACACAGGAGCGTTGTTTCTCCTTAAAGTGAGCAGTGGTAAGCACTCCTTTTCCTTTTATGTTGAGCTTTGTAGGTTCTTAGCCGATTTTATTCACTGTGGAATGGAAAAAAATGCTAGAAAGCCAGGCGCGGAATTACCTTTCCAATCCTGGAGGTGGGAAGGGCGTGGCTGCGTACTTCATTTGAACGTGGCGGCGGCTTTTAGCAAGACATTGCCTTTTCGAACATTCGACATTGCCAGAGTACTGTGTTTGTTCTAGAGAAGACAAGATAGCAGATGCCTCGTATGGGAACATCCTACGCCCCAAAAGCATCGTGCGCCATGTTCATATGAAGGGCGTTGCCCGCCTCCCCATCTCTGGGATATGGAGTGCCTATGGCGGGTTTCTGTGTAGTGGGATGAATTTTTGGGCCAGAACAAACCCGGCCTTGATTGTAGTTTGTTTTGTCAAGGTGTGCAGTCGCGAGATGCACAGCTGCTGTTTGACAGGAACGAACGAATCGTTTTTGGACCTCCCGGCCTACCTGCTTTAAGAAAACTGGTGTGTGATGGCGCTTTTGATATTCGCTTCACCTTTCAACGATTTAGGGTCTTTTCCACAGATTAATTATCCGATTAATACTGTAGAAACTAGGTACGAATGGAGCAGTGGCAAGTGGCGCCGTTTACCATGCGCACTATGGGAGGTTCAATCCCTAATCGGCCCACGCCCAGGCCAACCAAGCGCCGCTTACTTCTGAAGTCGATAGCATGTAACAAACTCGCCAGTGGACATTTACATGACTGGCCCCCACAAACCTTTGTATAGGCCCGATCGAATTCAAATTTTACAAGGGTTAAGACTGGGAGTAGACTGCATGGCGCATCCCAGAAAGGAGCTCATCAACACAAAAGCTTCACGTCTTTTCAGAAAAGTGGTACCGGTGTGATTTTTCCAGGAAAAAACGGGAAAGATGGTGATTCGGGCTCGTATCACTGTGTGGCACGGAACGAGCACGGTGAGGCACAATCACGAGAAGGAACTCTCAAAATTGCCATGTTACGAGATGACTTCCGCACTCGACCTCGGACAGTACAGGTGAGGAAGCTACTATTCTTAGTCTAGAAGTGCTGCTCAGTGTTATTTTGCACTACATCGCTCCACTCAAGCTGCTCAGTGTTATTTTGCACTACATCGCTACTCAATTGCTGTTTTGGTTCTGTTTCAGTACTTGATGCCAACGTAGTTTAGCGGGGCCATGCGGCGCGGTACTAAGCTAGGCCCACGGGGCTTCAGTCATTCCCCTGGCAGATAACACCAACCGGAGGAGTTTGGTGCCAGAAGTCACAAAGAAACAGAATGACCCGGGGAAGAGGATTCATGCCTAGGCTTAACACTAACGCTTCCTGAGACTGAGCCCCAAAGGGGGGGGGGGGGGGGAGGAGGAGATTGGAACGCAAACCACTGGAGTTGCGCACGGCATAGATCGCAAAAAAGGCATGCCGTCATGCCGCGTCGCCCCGCTAGTTCACGTTAACATCCAGTATTGTTATTTTTCCTACCCGCTACTATTTGGTTCAATGTTGTATGCTCACTACAGCATCAATTTAGTACACGCCGTGAAAAGTGGGTGGAACTGTCGAGGGCGGGTCTTGATGTCTGATAGTCAAGGCAGCAACTGGGCATAAACGGAAAGCGCGCTGCGTAAGAGGCTGTAACCTTCGCAAACGAGCACCTACAGTAATCTTTCAGGTGTGAATAGTAACGAAGTAGTAATGAAAGCTCATTCAGGCGTTATCGGGTGATAAAGCTGTGCTGGAATGTTCACCACCACGTGGTTTTCCGGAGCCGGTAGTCACTTGGCGAAAAGATGACCGAGAATTGAAATTGTCCGAAATACCACGCATGACGTTACATCCGGATGGAAATCTTATCATTGAACCTGTAAGTAGTACTTCAATTATTTACCTGTTAAATTGTTCATCTGAAACTGCGATGGTCTGCCTTTATGATTGTTACCCCTGCTTGATTTTTCATGCATTTCAACCACATTTGTTTCTTTATTTTCCTTTTTTTAATTACTGCGCTCGAGCACCTTGAAATCAACTATGAGTTGAGATTTCTTCTCGAAGAAGATATCATCGGGAAATAACTTAGAAAACGAAGGTAAAAAAGTGAAGGGGACAAAAACTCATGTGGGAGTTGACTCCAGTAAATTACTCTCAAATCTGAGAGTCTCGACGAAAGACAGCGCAAGCAAGGTGATCTGGGCTGTGACTGGCGATTCCTTTCCTCTTTCCGAACTGTTTGGAGGAACGGTCCACGATGACCTATGAAAATGCAAAAAGGTTGTGTGGGGAAAGGTAGTGCGGACCGCAGTGGACAACCTCGTGCCAGTTTCATGGCGGAAAGTTGTAAGGTAAAAGAGTTAAAGGCGCGAAATTGCTTCAGTGACACCCCTTATTCCAGTGACTCCGCCTCCAGACCCCGCCTTCGAAGTCTGCGATGCGATATCGATCGAGTAGCCTGAAACGGATGTTTTTCTGTCTCTCGTGAGATCACAGGGCTCATTAAAATGAAGCAGCCGACTGGAGCACCTCCCCCCTTACGCGGTCTTTTAGCCTTGTACCCGTAAAATTGTTTGAGGCTGTAGGGATCCTAGCGGAGGCGTTTTCGGTGTTCCGTTTATCGTTTTCTTTTCACAGACGGTCGCTTGACAAGTTCTGTTTCTTATTTCAACACCTTCGCTCCTTCTCGCGAACCGTGCCTTTAAAGAGGTCGTGATTAATCCCATGCGTTCGTGGTTCCTCATTTTCAAAATGAAGTTCCGGAAAGAGGGTGAGACAACTCCGTGCTAAACTGTCTTCATGTCCATTGAGCTGGTCACCCAAAGAACTCGAAACAGGTTTTTCCGCAGAGGCTTTGAGGAATAACCAGGAAAAGATTTCAAGTTCCAAGTGGTATTTTAATGAGTACCTGATTATGTTAACTGAATTTTGAATGTCCGTAACGAACAGGGGATTCATGTATGTTGCTACCTGAATCCCCCAAGCGAGTTATAAGGCGTCAGAGTCGCCGAACTTGGTCGAAAACTTGTCCCCTGGACGCCTGTAGCGTAGGCTCCAGGCCCTTTCGAACTAAATTGACATGTAAGTCGGGTTGGGGGTAGGGAAGCTCCAGGGAAAGCGAATTGCTAGAACCCGCTTATGTGGCACTATTGCCTTGCTGCCAATTTTGGTCGCTAATAACTCGCTTGCAGATTGTAGGTAAGATATCAGTTTCCATATTTGTAAACAATACAAGTTCTGAAGCGGAGGTGTAGCAGAATGTGACACGCTTACCACGCACGCAGTCCGGGGGTTGGATTCAGGGTTGGGTCCCACCGAGGCCAACCAAGCCTTCACTCCCTCCCCCCCCGACGATGGTAAATTAGTATCATATTCATTTGAAAGGATAAGAACACTGATTTTGGTGGTTGAAAAACCAATTTAAAGAGCGGTGCTTCTATTTGGATAGCGCTATCCCCTTCCCGCTCCAGACTATAGGGGCCTTTTATTTTATCCTTGGTTTGAAGTTATCAATATCGCGTTAGAGGTCACGATGGCGTGCATTTGGTATGGTGTGAAGTAAGCTTCAGAAGTACTGAGGTAGTTATTGATGTCCTGAAAATAAAGTTGTTGGTGTTGGAGATCAAAGAGCGTTGAGGTGCGTTCTAGAGATGCTCAAAACAATTTTGGACCAAATTGGTGTGGTCGCTTGCAATCATTGTGTTGATAGTCCGAGCAATTTTCCAGTCATCTAATTTCCGGAATCCGATTTCCGCGTGTTTTGAGCGTTCTGCACACGATTCCATCTTAACGTAATAGTTTCCGTTTAACCACTGTACGATTGCTGAGTGACAAGATGCCTGGAATAAATTGCGCTCAATCCAGGTGGGGATACGGCTTTCGAGACTATCAAACGTTTCCATTAGGTCTCAAGTGACTATCGAGACCAGGACAATTTAGTTTTCAGACGGGCCTTATCAGATAGAAGCAGACTTAACTGTCTGGGAGGTAAATGGAATGGCTGCGGAAGAAGGAGAATCATTTTAGAAGATTAAACTTATCCCTCCTTTCCGTGAATTAAATTTGGGAGTGTCTTCGAGCCTTTACTAGTAAATGATTTACATGCAGACGCATCACAAATATGTGAGGTTTTTTCTCTGTTACACCCACCATACTTTCTTTTCTAATAGAGCGCGCCAAATATCCACGGAGTTGGGGGTGGGAGGGGTGGTGTGACAGGTAGAACGGCCATCCGATAGTTAAGCTAACTTTTAGGTATTACCCATCAAAAGGGAGAGCGATATGTAACGCGCATGAAACGGCGAAGGTCAGCACATAAGGGAATAATTGTTCACTCGTCAAATATGGCCCCTCTCTAAAAAAATACGGTCCCCAATAAGGAACACGAATTACGGGGAATACGACCCCCAGTAAGGATCTAGGTTTTGATGTGATGGGGTGGGTTTTGATTTCTGTGGTAGTTTTGGTGGGTGCATTTATAGGCATTTTGGAACTTCGAGTTCGCAGCCTTTAAGGAGCGGAATTTTGCGGAGTGGTACAGTTTGTTCACTGCGGATGCTGGGGCGTCACAGGGGAGCTAGGTTTGACAGCGCCAGCCCTAGCTCCCCTAATACGTCCCAGCATACGCAGCGCAGAGGTCGCTTGTCAGGTTCCAGAAGGCAAACGTGCTAGGGTCGCGCCGAATCCAGACCCGTGACACGCCCCAGCATCCGAAGCGAACAAGAGCTTATGTTTTCGTGAAAGTTTAGCTCAGTGCGTGTGTTGTCGTAATGTGCGTAACGAAGTTAGCTCACATCACCTTGCAACTTCTACCGTTAGGTGGCAAGTAGTGAGCAAGAGGTCCACAATTTCTCTGACGTCGCTGTCTTGAAAGATTTCGCCTTACATTATTTTCGGATATTAAATTTACGGAATAGTAAGGGTTGACCCATTCAACTAACAGCAAACTTTTCACAATGCGGTAAAAAGTTGTAGAAGTGCTTCTCCTCACTTTTCCATGTCCTTTCGCTCGTATGGGCGGAGTCACTTGCTATGACGCTTTCCTCATTGGTGTCCCTCCTCTTTGTGCCTTGACTTGAGGAAGGGACGAATAAGCGAGAAGGGGGGTACTGGTCCAAGAAACCCTACTCACACGGTCAGCGTAGAATGCGTGCTGATCAGAATTGCTAGAAAAAAAAACTGCGTAATAAAGGACTGTAATATTTTCTAATGTTATAGGTTGAACATGGCGATTCTGGGACGTATCAATGTGTGGCGACGAATATGGTGGGAGAACGAGTTTCAAATCCTGCTCGACTAAGCGTTTATGAGAAACCGAAATTCCTGGTAAGTATGAGTCATCCAGTGGAAGACATTTGTGGGCGCGTGGGAGAGCTGCTGGTTATTGGTTGTCGCTTGACATATCCAATCGCAGACGCTCTCCCACATCGCCTGCTCTAGCTCAAAGGCTCCTAACACCGTGATCACCGTGACTCTTTTCATAAAAAAGGAAATCTTGATAAAAAGAAGGGCTGGTCTTGGGTGGACTACAACATAGTTTCAGGTAAGAACCGTTTAGATACTGGATAGGCCTTTTCAGGTAAGAACTGTTATGCGAGAGATCCAGTCGGTTCAATCAAGTCATCAGCTCAGCAAAATAAAAATAAATATCGATTATTCTTATCGATTCTTTTGCAGCAAGAACCCAAAGATGTCACGGTCGATGTTGGTTCTTCTGTACTCTTTGACTGCCGTGTTTCTGGTGAGCCACAGCCTCAGATCAGCTGGAAAAAGAAGAACGATCAAATGCCAGTAGCTAGAGCCTATATAGCAAAGGACAATCGCGGCTTACGAATCGACAGGTAAGACCGAATAAAGTCTTGCTTACCCGGCTTTTGTTGTAGTACTCACCAGTGAAGTACTTTTACCTAAAAATGAACCTATCCCAGAGTGCAAGTGTCGGATGAGGGTGATTACGTCTGTTACGCGAGAAATCCAGCCGGTTCAATCGAGTCGTCAGCTCGGTTAAAAGTTCAGGTCGGTGGCAGAAATCCCGTCTGCTACTTGATGTAGGACTTTAGGTATCCGTATTGATTAGTTATTTTAGGCACCTCCAATATTCCAAACGAAACCTGTAGATCAAACCGTTGCACAAGGTTCTACAGCTACGTTTGATTGTGTGCCAGTAGGTCAGCCAACACCTGCGTATTTCTGGAGCAAAGAAGGACAGCAGGTAATCGCTTTCACATACTTTAAAGATTTGTGGTTTGATAGCTGGACGAACTACTGTCGTTTTCACCGAAATCAGTCGGAGCGTGTCAGCGGGGCGTGGGTTTTGTCGCAGTGCCAGCCCGTTTCCCATTGATCGTTGAGCCTTCGCGCGTTCACCGAGTGGTGAGAAGGGGCTGACCGCACCAGAGCTCAGGAACTGTTGGCAGGCCCTGACTGACTTCTCTATTAAAGACAATAATCGGGTTCACAAAATTTCGAAAGGGTGCTTTTGGCGCCACTTGTCCTGTAGAGGACCGTTTCTCAGAGGGATTGAGCCTCGAAGTGGTTCGTTCTCTGAGTAATGTTGTCTAATCTCCTGTTACAAAAAGACATGGTTCGAGTCGCTGTCGCAGAGGCTATATCAGCCTTGTGGCGCCGACGCCAGTTGCGCCAGGATGAGGCGTCCTCGCACCAAGTGGATGTGGTGTTCATACTCAGACATTTAAACAACCCCTTCAATGGATTTTCGGAGAATATGGTGATCTGAGGTGTTTGCTACTCGTGGCGTTAGGTTTCAGTGTTAAACAGATGCGGCATTCGTGTTTATGTGGGTTTCCCTTGTCACGAGAAGTGGTTCACTCAACCCGGGATCTTGCCGCCTAATTTTTCAGAGCCGTCTTGTTCCTAAGGCTACCCGGTCCTGAGTACAGGTAATGATATTTGCACCTTATCACCTGGGAAAAGGTAGATCTATCGGTCGCAATCGACTTCGTGGGGGAACTAAATGGTACTCAGCAAAGCTTCCACAGGGCATTTTGAGAAGACCTGTGAACACTTGTAATTCAAGCGGCGGCTTACTTGTACTGCTTTGCAGCTTCACAGAAGTCTACGGAGGACCTTGTACAGGCTACATTGTGGAACCTGTTAGTGAGACCCCCCCCCCCCAAACTTACAAGTGAGACCTGTTAGTTTCTATGAACTAGCAAGAGGAACTACCGAAGCTGCAGAATTCCCCTACCATGCCGAACAGGGCTATGAATTGCTAGGGAAGCTGCCGTATAGCGCATCTAGGCGGAGTTAGCCGCACAACATGTCTTGCATTTGAAAATTTTATCCCTTCTATTCGCCATTTTAATCTGTTTTTACAGAGCTTGCTATTCCCTGGACATGTATCAGCCGATGGGCGAATAAAAGTGTCATCATCGGGCACGTTGACAATCGCTGACGTTCGTCCAGTGGATGAGGGCGCATATGTTTGTGCAGCTATGAACTCAGCTGGCAGCTCTTTAAGCAAAGCCCTGTTGAAGCTCTCAACGAAAAGTTAGTTTACTAGACATTTTTCACAGGTGCAGTGTTACTGTAAGGGCACGTTTAAGGAACAGGGCTCACCATCCGTTGTGTTAAACCTCACGGGGGTCGGATTTGGCCGTTGGAGAGAGGGAGGGGCGGGTCATACGTTGCCGTTAGAAAATTTTCCTGATTGTTGATTTTTCTGCACGTGCGCTTCATACCCCCTAATTGGCGATGCCGCAGGGCTACAATTTCTCAATGTTGATCAGCGGAGTCTATTCAGGCTCCCTCTCCCTCCCCGCTCGACTGTGGGATTTTAAGAAAAGTTGGCAATATGTTAGGATGGGGAGGGTTGCCGTAGCCAGGACACATCATGGAGATCCTTGGTAAGGGGGTCGTATTGCTTTTGTGGGATATAATTTCGATTGTTGGCTTTTCTCCCGTTTTATGTGGGCTTTACATCCTCCCTTCGCTCGACGGCAGTTTTTTAGGGGTAACTGGAATCTTTCAAAAAAAAAACTGCAAAGAAAATGGTAGGAAGAAGTTGGAAAATTGAGGGGAATGGTAGTTAAGGTGGTTGAATGGGTAAGGAGGAATCGTACAAAGGAAGGTCGCGTTTCGCGAATCCCCCCCCCCTATAGCAAGAGGGAAGCAGGATAGCAAATTTGAAGTGGAGGGGGGGGGTCGTACTTGGGGCAATATTTCCCCACAACTTGATGGTGTGCTCTGTTCAAGGATGCGGTCGTATGGCGCGATCAGGTTGCCTTTTCACGTTATTCCTGGTCGTGCAACGCGTCCTCCAAGTCAGATAACTCGTCTGGGTCATTGAACCACTTGGTTTTCGTTTTGAGTTCGTAAAACACCCTTCACCGTTCGCTTTAGTCCTCCTCCTTCCCAATGAGGTTGTACCTACCAAACAGGCTATTCAATATAAACCAGTACTGCTGTGATCGGCGAGTTGTTCTACCCAAGAAACGCGACGCGAGTCGCAGTGTGATCGCGCCAGGCGACATAATCCCTAGATTTTGCTGCTGAACGATCCGAACCAGGCGAGAACCAAGTGCTTCTCATGCATTGATTTATATCCATGCACTCATTTTGAATGCATGCAATGAATATGAGTTCTTCTGAAAGGTTTCTCTCATGTGACATCACCTAAGCTTTTTCCGCGGTGCTGAGGTTTCATTCTTCGGCTTTACTGCACACTTTCTCTTGCAAACCTTGGAAATCAGGCTTTAAAAAGGGTTTGCTTTTTGTATTTTGCATTTGTTTGGATCTGTATGAGGACAGCATTATCACCTCATGTTTGCAAAATCCTGTGCCATTTGTTATTGGTTTAATTGAGGACACATTCAGTAACACCCGATAGGTAGGTCTTTTCTCCGTATAATATTAGCGGTTCAGTAGGAGCTCATATATTACCAATTTGCCCTCTCGAAGGTCTGTGGTAAGAGCGCCAGGAGCTTGCAACTTTACCCTGACCAGTCTTGCGCCCAGGGTAGAGCACTGTGCGAAACTTGAAAGAGGGGTTGTTGGGTATTTGGTCACTTGAGAGAAAAGTGTATTGGACCTCATGGGGAATTTTTCTTTTTAAAGATTTTTCCCGTTTCATGAGCGCTGTGGACCCCTCGCCTTGTTTCCCCTAGTTGGCAACGCGAACTGCTGTTTCTAGTCTCTCCCCCCCCCCCTGCCCGCTCGACGGCAAACTTTAGGGAGAAGTTAACAGGATGGTGGAAAGATTGCGAAAGGGAGCCCTACGGGAGGAAGCGTTTGAGGTGGGCCGACCCTTCTGACACTTCTGTTTCACTTATGACGATGTTGTACCGTGCTTGCACCACTAATAATATTTAGATTTCCGCTTTTGTTCCTGTAAGGCAGTTGATTTACCGCCCGCGGTCGGTCTCTCGTTGTCTGATCTCTCGCCCACGTCACTGAGCTTCTCTGCGTCTCCAATTACTGCTCCAATTTTGGAAACTCATTTCACGCATTTTCACCGGTTCTTTGATTTCTTCTGTTCGTGTAAATCAGTTAGCCCTTACCAATTCAGATTTGAACCCCATTTGAACCCCACCAACCACGACCTACAGTGGCGCAGTGTAACTTTAGAGGGTTCTTTTACATATGTAGTTCTGCACTAGCAAAAATGCCTGGCTGAACTCGCTCCTTATCACTCACCCAACAACCGGACTTTTTTTCGCTTGGCACGGGATCGGGTGATTTTTCTGATCTGCTGCTTATAAATTTCACAAAATTCGAATGAAAGGCTCACTTTATGACTAAATGTGCATTCACTCCTAGTGCTGGAATTTTTGTATTTTTGGACCGATGCCTTTCAAAGACAGTTTTCATGTGTTTGGTACTCGTATAGGCGCAGTTTGGCGGCGAAGGCTTGGGGGGGGGAGAAGGACGTTTTGCATTTCCGCTGCTTTCCATGGTCGTGTTGAGCCATTAGATTTGTGAAACCTTTGAAGCCGTCAAGTCATACCAGTGAAGAAACTACTTATGAACCTTTGTAAAACAATGAACGCGATAATCAGAAGTAGCAAGATTGCGAAATGCCCCCCCCCCGTCGCCGATCTGTGTCCGTACCCATAGATCTCCATTTCCACTTGCTCTAAACTCGTTCTTAATTCCTTGTGAATACATACGCGTGAGGAAAGAAGCAAAGGTGCCAACTGGTTCAGTACGAAAAGTCCTGTTATTGAATGTAGAAAATGGAATGGTAAGCTCCGTAAGGGGAAAATGCACATGTTTACTCTCTAAGGCTGTCTTACGCCTGCTCTTTTTCGACCAAAGCATTACGAAGTGTTGACAGAAGAGGAGCAGTGAACGTTCCCGTATAGTGGCCCCATGATTAGGTGTTTACATAGAATCATAAAAGTCCTACAGCATCTTTGTGTACTTTTATGTGTCAAATCGGACCTGATGACTCACTTAGTGTCTAGTATGTCAACAGTGATGGATTTCATGTTCCACTGTACTGTGAAATGGTTTCGACTGGCACTGATTGACACATCAAAACGATGGAAGGTTTGAAACCACAATACCTAGTTTTCCCCCCACACATCTTTCAAGCTTTTTCTGCTGAAAATGATAAGAAAAACAAGAAAAAAAAACTCGCAATTTTCTGGATTTGCACTCGTGAGAGTTTCGCTGGATGTTCCTCATTGTGTGCATAAAATTTTGTTTTGAAAATAGGTTTGTGTAGAATTGGAAGAGTAAGCCCTCAGAAGCTCACCCTTTGCCAGGTTATTTTTCTTGCTTTTAAAGACTGAAAGTTCGCAAAATAACCAGTTATAGCCTCGTGCGAATCGCTCCGAGCTACTGTCCTAGTTCTCCATGACAGGGTACACCATCGTTGTGTAAAACACAACGGGGGTCTTATTTGAGGGATGGGGAGGTGCTGCATTTTGTCGTGAGAGAAACTTTTCAACTGTTGATTTTGTCTCGCGCGCTTCGTTTTCTGGATTTTTAGGGCAATTCCAAGGAGGGGGTCGTATATCAGCTGGCATTGAGAGAAATTCTTCCGAGGCGAGAAAAACTTTCCGGTTGCTGGCTTTCCTCGTTCTCGTTTTTCCCGTCCTGTAGGCGTTGTATAGCCCCCTTGTAGTTGGTGGTGCCGCACACTACTACGGAATTACTATTTCTCATAATTGATTTTGTTAGTTGTTCGATGAACACCTCCCGCACCCTCTTCCTGCTCGGCATTGGTTCCCAAGAGAAACTGAGTAAGTTTTTGGAAAAAGGGGAATATTGGAGGAAGTCAGGAGAATTGGGCAAGATTGTAGGTAGGATTGGAAAGGTGGTCGTACGAGAGGAATAAATGGGATTGGGGTCGTATTTTGCTAATGTTTCACTTAGCGTGATGGCGTGCCTTGCCTCGCGGGCGAGAGTGGTAGGAAGTAATAAAAGCTAACCAGCTTCTTTTTTTTGTTATCCTAACCCAGAATCTCAAGCACTACAATGGTTATAGCAATATTTTCCTTGATATTCCCTACGCTAGGGATACCAACGTAAAACGTGGAACTACGGCACGTGGTACGATGAGATCCCTAGCCGGGAAGGGTCGTATTCGGTCGCTGGAGGTGTCGAGCTCCCATTTTCCTTTGAGAAAACCATTTCGGTTGTGACTATCATAGGTTTTTCCTGTTTCAAGTTCTCTATACATCAGAGAAAGAAATTTGAGGGGAGAGGATCGTGTTTTGCTGAAATTCTCTTCAGCGGCAGAAGATGCCCTGGCTGAAACGGTTTTTCCCCTTTCCCGTTTCTTAGCCAGTTTGCACTTCTTTCTATGAGAAACTGCAGTGAATTTTCAAGTTGATGTTGACATATATGTATTTTTTTCATATTTTTCACTATTTGCCTTTTGATGACTAACCTTGAGCGGTCCGTTTGTTTTGTATCGGCGAGTTTTGTGGTTACTAGACACATTGACTCAACCTTCTCATTACACCAAAGTGCCACCTTGACACCTTGCCAGGATGCCGGCTACCGATATGTTAGGCGTCTAAATGAGCGGCATCCTGTCCTTTCTTATGCCTCATGAGGTGTCGCGGTATTCCGCACTTGACGTGACCCCACTCGAACCCCTTTTTAATTGTGCGTGAGAGAGAGCCGATGACCTTACGGATGCACCGATTATTCCATATTATCCTGCGTGCTATATGGTGATAATTGGGTGTTTGCCTCAATTCACTTGCTTTCCCCTTTGGGCAATCCTCTTTGATACCCTTAAGTGCTTCATCCTAGATTGAGAGGATGGACAAAATCCGCTTCCCTATAGGGATGATCCGATTTCTGGTCAGTAGACTGCTTCACTTTCAGTAAGCGGTGAAGTTTGAGATGTTTTGATTTCCGGATTTCCGATCGTTAACATTTATTCTTTGAAAAGGTTCTCACGTACAAGAAAAAGTTAATGTTGAGGCAAGTTAGACACCAGTGGCTTTTTCTCTGAAATTGTTGAATTGCTAGAATAATAGGTAATCGGGCAAATTAGCGCGCGGCCAAAAACGCATAGTCCATCAGATCAGAGTGC